TGCTTCACTATAAGAATACACTAATCTGCAAAATAAACCACAACAGGGTGATAAACATTCGCAGAGCGAATTTGTCTTGTAAAATCCTGAAGGAGTTTATTTTGCGACATCAAGTATAAGTTCATGTCACAATGTATAATCTTACCTTTATTAATATCTTCAAGCTTCCACTGACAGAAAAATGTAGTCCTTTACAGTGTAACGTTACAAAATAATCGCCCAAGTAACCAGAGGAACGCTGCCACAAAATTACAGGCATTAATACTGAAATCCCTTGAGGTAATTTTTTTTAATACGATCCATAACTAAAACGCAATATTGCCGGTTGCGCAAAATATGAGGGAAATGAAAGTAGCGCCGGTTTCAGTTACCCGGATGAGCTCGTTTTGAAGGAAATGGCAGGTCGAAAATGTCGTGATATAGTGTCAAAATTAATTTTGTCTAATTATTCTTAATTTTATTTATTTATTTGTAAATAGACTGGTAACATTTCCATGAACAGTCATGTTTATTTATTTTATGTATTAAAACAAAAGGTGGTCTGGGTAATTTTTCCATGTTAGAATACTTTTTTAAATCCCAGGTTACTATACAAAAACAACTATAGACCTTAGTCGGGTTAGACACCATTTTCAATTTAGCACGGATGAAATCGAGGCTGTAAGGATAGACTTAGGCCTACAGTCTTTACAATAGCATGCATTGTATAAAGGTCCGAGATCACATAATTTTTGCAATTTGCAACTTTCAAAAGTATTTTATGGAGTTTTTGTCTATCCGTTACGGAAATTAACCATGGTTTTATTGTAGTAAAAGTGTAGCAACCAGGGTTTTTTGGCGTATTAATTACCATTTGTATAACCACAGTTTTATTACAAATACCATGGTTAAACTATGGTTAGTGTGGCAAAAACATGGTTACTTTGTGGTTACCATGGCTTAACTAGCTATAGTAACCATGTTTTCTTTTGTTTTATTGTGGTAAAAACATTGTTTTTACTGAAAGTTTGTTTTTTCCAGAAAAATTAACAATCGGTATGTTGTTAAACAACAATATCCATTGAATGTACTGTACTTCTGTCCCTCACAGCCTAATTTTTTTTATTTCTGTCAAAATATAGCACTTCTCTGACAAAGATCTATAAGCCATTTGTATCAGTTTACTCGTTGGTCTAGTCAGAACGGCAAAACTGAATCAACCAATGACAGGAGTCTGGGGACGGGGCTATCTGTAAACTGACCAATGGCAGACGTGGAGAGTGTTCAGGAAACTTGTTTGATAACAGTTCCATGATTTATTTTAGCAATACAAAGCTAGTAGTACAGAAATCACACATCATTTTGAGTGAGATTTATTTGAAGTTTATAATAATTGTAATAAACACCTAAGGGGATTAGGTCCAAGTTTATTTAGATCTGAATACCTGTGTGAGGTTGGATTAATCAGACTCTTGCATGGCAATAAAAGTATTAATTCAAAGATGAAAAAGGTGTTTGTATGGCTCTGATACATACTTTAAAAGAACTGAATACCACATACTGTATGATCAAACAAACACGGCTTCCTTTCTCAATAACCCATGACACTTGCTCTTTAACGTTTATCTCTTACTGGGAATGTACAATCCACCATCTTGAGAGAGGCACTCGAGGCGAATGAAACATGTCTGTTTAATGATCGTTTTGAATGTGCGCGGCAATAAAAGAATCTTTTGAGAGGCTGTATATTACGGAGCCAAAATCTGTTGCTCAATTTCCACACACAAAGAAGGAAATTTGATGGAATTATAGCTATTTCCAGGTCTCATCTCTTATGTAAAGAATAAATGTTGTTTAATTTCTTCATTTTGATGTGTTGACACACTGAGCCCAGATCATTTTCCACTCAAACCTCTAAAAGCTCCATCTCTATTATCGACTAGCAATGGCGGGATATTAGCTGTTGTATGTAGTTTTGCAATAGGAGTTATTAAAGGCCTTAAACGGGGCAAGATTGCAGAAGTCAAACATCTCCTCAAATCTACTCTCACAGCAGAGTTGCCAATTGACATTTATAAAATGCAAAATATTAATGAAGATAATATTATTACTAAGATCATTACTAAGACAGTCACACACATCAAATATAACCTAATCTGCTTTAAAGGCAATCAAAACGGACCCTATTTAACACACATACTGGTATTGAAAATTTAAGAAAGGCTAAGAACAATGTGTTTCACAGAGACACTTTTCACCATTGAATCGTTTCCTGATGGGTGCCGACATATATTCAATGTAGTTATTTCATAACTGTAGAACATCTGTTGTAAAATTACAAAGATGCATCAATCAATTTATGCAATTGTAAAAAGTGGAAAAATCTCAACGCCATGCAAATTCGAAACACAGCAAATGTTTCAAAAAAAAAAAGAAAATTAAGTTATGACTGAATTTGTCTCATAGACCTGTCCTGTGACAAATGTGTTTGACTCAACTCTGCTCACATTTCAAGAAAACAGTGTGATACTGATATCAAATCAATCATGCCGTGCATTATTTTAGATGGTAACTGCATGAAGCATATTATGTCTTTATAAATCATAAAAGGCATTGCATCAGTGTAAGAATGTACTTGCCTTGGCTTAGAGGTTCATGTTGTGGTGCTCACATGGGCGTCAATGATGTCCTGTTTCTGGATCTTTCATTTTCATTTCTCCATCATATATCTTAATATACTGGATTAAAAAAAACATGGTCCCACTTTATATTAGGTGGCCTTAACTACTATGCACTTACATAAAAAAAATAAGTACAATGCATTTATTGTGTTCATATTGTATTGCAAAACACTTTTGCTGCTATTGAGGTGGGATATGGGTAAGGTTAGGAACAGGTTTGGTGGTATGGGTAGGTTTAAGGGTGGGTTAAGGTGTAAGGGATGGGTCAACAGTGTAATTATAAATGTAATAACAGAAATTAATTACAGATGCAATTACATACAGGTATTTTTAAAATGTTAAGTACAATGCAAAAACATGTATGTACACAATAAGTGCATTGCATCAAATTATTAATTTAAATGTATGCACATAGTAGTTAAGGCCACCTAATATAAAGAAGGACCAAAAACATTAACTCACAATATTAAACACAGTATTATTACTTCTATTAAAGTATCATAATAAAGTGAGCAAAGGGTGTAAATTTCAAATAATTTCTTTTAGCAGTTACCTTTGCTTTGATGGGATGTTGTCATTTTCCCCCCAGGTGCTGCATTTCTAACATTAAAAACTGGCAATTCATTAAGAAATATTCCATGTTTTTACAGTCACATTTTTAAATTTATCTAAACTTTTTTTCCCAAGCAAAACATCTTCAATATTAATTTAATTAAGAATAAATGTATAATAAATTTGTCATGTCTCTCCCATATCACTTTTCATCCTTATTTGCCTTTTGTAACATCCCTTTAACTTACAAAAGTCAGTCTTATACAAGAGGAAGTGACATCATTTTGGAGGGAAAACAAGAGCAATAACAAAAATATCAGCAATGGATTGGATAAATTGTGTTTTGTAATAGTACTTCTAAAAGAAAACTCACTTAATTTTGACACAGTGTTTGATAAAATGATTGTCAAAACATGGTTTAAAAATATCAAAATTATATTTTAGTCTTAATGTAAACTAACCATTCTTTTTCCATTCTGTGTATTGAAAAAATAATAATAATCAGGTTATAATTAATAAAGCTTAAGTGCCTGAGCCAAAGCATATTTCAGAAAGACCAATGTATAATTGAACAGAAATACTTATATTACAAGATTTAAAAAAAATGTTTTTTTGTAAATTACATAAACTTTTAAAAATACTAGTTCCAAAAGGGTTTGTTTTTGTCGCAATGCCATAAAAGAACCATTTTTGGAACCTTTTTAGTGAATAGCCCTAAAACACCCATTAGTGTGAAGAACATTTTAATAACCTTTTTCCATTATAAAGAACCTTTTGTGGAATGGAAAGATTCCATGAATGTTAAAGATGCTTCATGGAACCAAAATTCCAATAAAGAACCTTTATTTTTAAGAGTGACTACCTCTGCTCACTATCTGTACAAATAAAAGAGAGAAAAAAAGTGCACGGAAATAAAACATTACAAGCCTCGTGCATTGTCATCAGACTGTTAATTCAGCATATTATGAGCTTTTTGGTGATGCAAACACCGTTTGGAACGATGTCACACCAGCGCAGAGCTCCGTGGTGTCTAGCATGGGTAAGTCCCGGCTCCACAGTAGGGGGCTGTAAACATTTACACTGAGAGGCTGTCCATTCCACATGGTTCTCCTTCACCAGCAACCTCAGCATCTCGCGTTTAGTCATTCAGGCCTGTCCCGAGATACTACGAATCACACCATCAATTTATGAAAACGCCATCCAAATGTGACAGCCGACTTATGCTAAACGGTGCAAATAAAGCATTGGGGTCTAAAATCTTTCAATGAGAAAAACCCTTTTAAAGTATATTTTCCATTTAAAAAGCTCTTTAAAATGACGTGCAACTGGAAGCGAACACAACAGATGTTAATGGGAAACATCTTCAAGCATCAAGACCAAAGCTTCATTGTACTTTGATTCAACAAAAATAGCCTTTAAATGTATTGAAGATGCATCTGTTTCCCAAAGGTATGGCAAATAAAAAATAAATAATACAAAGAAAACTATTGCAATACATTCGCAATATTCTCGCCACGGCGCATGAAATAAAGTTCTCGGAACGGACGCTGCGGGTAATGCAATCCACCGCGAGGAGTTTGGGATCAAACCTTTATTGTTTTGAAAACTCTAAATTCTTTTACAATACAGTCCTTTTTTGTTACTGTGTGATCTGATGAATAATATACAATGTCGTCGTTAAATTCAATAAAGACACACATTCACAAACATGAAATATTACTTTCTATATTTCAACATCCTACAACAGAGGGAAGATATGTGCTGCTTTTCTTCTGACGCTCGTTTTCAACAGCACAAACCTCCCTTTTGAATCGACAAAAGCGTCGTCTTTTTTTTTCGAAAGTGCTTCTGAAGGATTGCGAGGCCTCTGCGGTGGCCGTCCAAATGTACGTCATAATAAACAGACGGGTTGTACTGTGATGCGAGTAACAATCAGCAGGTTTTTACTGATACCTCCGACTACAATAAGTGATGTTGGTGCGCCGTGCTCCTCCAAGAGGGTAATACCGTTCCCGGGCTCCGATCGAAGCCCTTATGAAGTCTGTTGCGTCCGAGAGCGTGCCAACGTTAGCACACGACACTAGCTAATGCCCCCACAAAAGCCAACATTCGACAAGGACCGAGCTGAAAGAGAAAAACGTCTAAGTTGGGAATATTTCCCTCAACCGCCGTACCTCGGCACTGCTTTAATTTTAGACAGAACACGTTACTTAGTGATAGACAATAGCAATAAAATGGATCCCATTAATCCCTGACATGTATGGGCTTGTTTGCTATTCATTAGTTTAGTTGACACAATAGAGGCGTAATTCTTTTAAAATCTTCCGTTCTGCTCGGTTGGAAGTGTTGCCAATGACTCAAGAGCATCAATAGGCGATGATTGCAAAACTTATGTGACACACATTCACAAACATGAAATATTACTTTCTATATTTCAACATCCTACAACAGAGGGAAGATATGTGCTGCTTTTCTTCTGACGCTCGTTTTCAACAGCACAAACCTCCCTTTTGAATCGACAAAAGCGTCGTCTTTTTTTTTCGAAAGTGCTTCTGAAGGATTGCGAGGCCTCTGCGGTGGCCGTCCAAATGTACGTCATAATAAACAGACGGGTTGTACTGTGATGCGAGTAACAATCAGCAGGTTTTTACTGATACCTCCGACTACAATGCATATCCAGACAAGTAAATTAAAGAAAATATTATCTATATGCATGCCATGACCATTCCTCTGGTAACATTTACAATAAATTTATATTTTCATAACCTTCTGAAATAAGTAAGCTGATCGCAATAGTGCCCGCCCCCCAACCTGACCATAATATTAATGATGAACTAATATGTAACATCCAAATACATTTTGTCCATTTTTACAGACTTGTTGTGACGGCTTCAGAGCCATCGCACGTGGAGGCAATGCCCCGATAAAGTTAGAATCATTTGGTCCACATTTACAAATCCTCTGTGTATAAAAAAAATTTGCTAAAATGGTTTGCAACAGAGGCAAAAAAAATAAGGGAAAAATTATTTTGTCTTCTGATGTCGATAAAACCACCAAGGATGAGCGAGTTTGCTTAAAAAAAGCAATAAAAACATACTGAGCTCATTACAATATGATCAATTTGTACACGATTACACTTTCTTGTTCCATGGCACGGCCTTTACTCTGTAGAATTTAGTGCCGAGAGGAACTTTGAACCGGTTTTGGGCCTGGAGACAGATAATAACAAAAGAAACGCATTCAAAATATGTAATAGAATATCACATAAAAATAATTAAATAAAATAGATAATTTAATATAAGTGCCTGCAGTAATGATTAGCAGCGGAGTATGAAAACACACTTTTCTGCTCAAATTAACTTTAAGATGCAAAACAATTAAATGCATAATTGTAATTCAATGTTATCTTCCTGATGAGCTTAATTAGAAAGTTTAGCAAAGGAACGGAGTATATATTTTAATATATGCATCTCAAATATAACCAATGTTAACAAAAAATAGATCAGACAATGTCATGAAAAATGAGCTAGTGTTTTGTCATCAAGGATGTTATATAATGAGAGTGCAATAATACCATCAAAATGATTTACTGAAATATAATTATACAAAAACACTCCATTTAGAGCATTCGCAGAAATAATAGAATAATAACGGTTACCTTTTTGGCTTGGCAATATTCCTTCTCCATGACTTTTCCTAGAACCCACGGCCGTCTTGTTTCTCCTGTCGCTAAAAAAAAAATTATTTATTGTATATCAATAATACAAGCAAATTTACAATAAAACCATGCTTTATGTAAAATAAAACTACAAAACACTTTATCAGGAGTAAAACACATTTTCTGTATCATAATTTTTTTTATCTAGAACATTAAAAAAAACATTTTAATTTACAAATGCATTGATACATTAATATATACAATTAAAAAATAAGAACAATTAAAATAAGTAAACATGTTCTTGGGAAAGAGCAACAAAAAAATATGCAAATCCATCTTGTTGGAGCAAAATTGTTTCACATATGCAAAGCCTAATATATTTAATTAATCTGTCCCTTTAATAAGTATTCCTGTCATGTGTGTGACTGACCTGGTTTGAGGTCCAGTGCAGTGAGGGACTCTGAGTGCAGGAAATAAAGGGTGGGACCAACAGTGAAGAGAACGTAATTATCGTGCCTCTCGTCCAGGATTATGAGAACCAAGTCGCCCACCTGAAAACTACAAAAGAAGGGGTTTTCAAATGAGGTGGAGGGCTGAAACGGCAGCTCAAATCATTAACGCTAACATCCAAGAATACTTACTCTCGAATGGCGATTTTCTCAGAGTGCCGTGACGAGACGGACGACATACTCTGTGACATCTGTAAAACAAATTGTTCGATGATTCTAGTGATATTTACACTAGTAAATTGCTTGCGTACACTCTCTGCAACCGTTACAAAATAAAAACCACATACATTGTAGTGCAACACATCAGTTTTGGTTAAATGCAACATTGATTAATCTCCTGCCATTTCAGAGTTTGTACCTAAACAAATGTATGTGTGCCATCTAGTGGTAAGGAGTAGAACAGTCTCTTAAATAGCATGCATTGGTAGTAAATGCATAAAACACACAATAGGGACAAAGAACAATGAGTATCTAAAATACATTGTAACATACATAGATGATAAATAAAAAATGTGGGATTTAAACACGTCTGTAGTCGTTTCATGTCCGGCTCTTTTGCAAACGAGCTGAAATTCAGTCCTAGCTTAATTACTCAGGCACATTTTAGAGCTGTTTTTCAGACTAAATTCATCTTGTGAATCCGCCCCGGGCTGTCAGGACTCTAAAGTGTGGGTTACGTGTCTCATAAGATGCGTCTCGCGGCCAATAAGACGGTGATTGTAATTTTGCTAAAGAGATTAAACCTATTTGCAGAAACAGTCCCAGGGGAAATGTAATTAAATTATATCAAAGAGCCTCATGTTTTAATTAACTGCTGATAATGTGCAAGTTGTAACTGTCGTAACAACAGCAATGTAATGTATATGAACTGTACCGTGAAGACAGAATATCTACAGCATTTTGCTTATAGATATAAAAAACTATAATATGAAAAAAAAAAGTATTTTTTCCCCCCAAAATGACATGAATGCCTTTAACGTTCCTGTGTCAATCGCTGACCTGCATTAATTGAGTGTATTGCTCTATTTACCATCACTAATTACTGCTTTTAATTGACCGTTCAAGTGGTCAATTATCAACCGAGATCAAGAACAAATGACACGAATACAGATGATCAATTTAAACGATGTTAAATGACGTTCTCATACAATTAACACATTTAGATGAAATATAAGAGCCAAAACTGTAACCACACGCACGTTCACGTATAAATGAACTAAAATATATTTACCAATCTTTGACTAAGTCTTTTGTTCTCTTCCTCCTTCATATGTAAAGTCTGAAACACAACAACAAATAATTGCATATGAAAATATTTCTAAGAAATGCAATGATTTTGTCAATAAAATTATATATAAAAGTATATATATGTGAAAGTGAATTACCCTTTCCAAAATCAGTATGCGCTGTTTCTCTTCAGACAGCATAGGGTTGTCACTGCATCAAAATACACAAAATAAATGTCACAAACTACACAGTTCACTAATTTAGCAAAGCTTTAAAAGGAACAATTTTCTAAAAGCCAATAATAATACAGAGCAGGGAACTGCGTCTCCTCACCTACAGCATGGACTCGACTCACATCTTTCTTCTTCTACCTGATCTACTCTGCTTTCCTGCCTCAAATACATTCATTCAGCTCCTTTAAAGATACAAGGTCTACAAAATATCGTCTTACCTCTCCAAAAATTGATCTTCCTTACATACTTTTAAACGACAAGTATGAAAAAAAAATTCTAACAACTGCTGACATTCTGCTAGACATATTAAAAATAAATTAATAATAATAAAATTATACATGTATATATGTGTGTGTGTGTGTTAATGATAAATTTGTAGACTTTGACTACAAGAATCATATAAATCACTAATTCTATTATAAACCACAAACTAGAAAAAAATTATTAACTCCACTCTGTAATTATTATTAAAAATATTTTAAAACATAATTATATAATATATGATTTTTCAAATAAGTCTGTCTTTAGATATACATCTATAAATCTAGAATAAATGTGTAGATTTTTGCCAACAAAAAGCATATAAACGACTAATTGTGTTCAAAAACTACAAACTATATAACCTATTAACTCCACTGTTGTTGTTATTATTATTATTATTAAAATGTTTTAATATAATAATTATATAATATACTTTTTTTTTTTAAATAAGTCTGTCTGTAGATATACATTTATAAATCTAGAATAAATTTGTAGATTGACTACAAAAAGCATATTAATAATATATAACTAATACCTAACATAATAACAAATTTTGTTCAAAACTTAAAAACATATGAACTTCATTCTGTTGTTATTATTATTATTATCAGTAGTAGTAGTAGTAGTAGTAGTTAGGGGTGTGCGATATTTACAAAAAATAATATCTCGATATTTTCTGTGATTTTATCGATGACGATAATTAGACGATATTTTGCTGAGTGTGTTATTGTGCTGGTATGCATTTTAATAGCCTGAATCATGCAGTGAAAGAAAACACACTAAATGCGCACACGCACTAGTCTATACTTCACGTAATGTATGCGTGCGCTCTGTAGGGATGTTTTGAATGGTTTTTGCAAAATACTCGATAATGTCAAATCGCACATCGTTAAAACAACAATTACGATATTATCGCAGACGATATATATCGCACACCCCTAGTAGTAGTATTAAAATGTTTTAATATTATAATTAGATCATATATAATTTGTTTTTCAAATAAGTCTGTCTGTAAATAAACATCTCTAAATCTATAATAACTTTGTAGAATTTTGACTATAAAAACATGTAAGCATTAATTCTGTTCAAAGACTACAAACTATAAAACTTACGAAATTATTAAATCTAGCACAATTATGTTCTGATCTAACAAAATTATGTTTTATTTAAAAAAAAAAAAAATGTAATGAGGAAAATAAACAATGTTTTTGACATGTAAATGTGTGTATTTTGGGAATTAAACAAAAATCACCTACTACGTAACTATTCCAAAACTTTTTAACTAAGACAAACCTCATCCCTCCAAAACTTTGATTTTGTTGCTACAAGAGCATGTGAAATCAAGTGTATTCGTACAGCTCATTCAGTTATAGTCGTGCAGTATTTTAGCACCGAAGCTGGCTGTGCAGGTTTATTATTTTACAGAAATGAATGCTGTAGAGTGAGAACATATGCCAACAACAGGTTGTTGTATTGCTAGAATAAAATGAATTTCAAACCACCTTGTGGATAATGTCAAAGACATTCACTCAGCGTGCTTTTGACTAAACTGAGCCAGTTCAGTTTTTCAGGGTTTATTAATTTAGCTCTAGTATGAGTGTGTCACAAGTGAACTTCAGCCCAGATGCTTACTGCACTGTCATCATGCTGGCCTCCACGGCTGACTCCACCCTCTCCTCATCCTTGAACGCAGCCACGTACGCCAATCTCTCTGGATCAGGGGTGGACAGCAAGAGGACTTCCACATGGGCGGGGCCACAGGCGCCGTGAGCTTCCGTGACGACTGGGATGGGATTGGGCGGAAAGAAGGACGAAGAGACGAGGACGGTGCTTCGCAGATGGTTGAGTTCCTCCTCCATCTGCTTCTTCTCCTGAAGGATGGAGGCACGGTCCTCAGAGAGCGTTTCGATCAAGCCTTCAGGAAAACAACAAAATACAGCACAATGATCATGAGTGGTCCTTTTTTAACATTTATTGATCGCACTGACCATTTCGGTGCAGTACAGATGTTTGGAAAACAAGTGAAAATGTATTAAAATTATATGAAATTATTATTTTTTTTTTTATACCTTTATCTTTCTCTTGTTGCTGTGCCAAGTTTTTGAGCTTCTCGGTGAGATCACTGATGATTTGTTCTTTCTTTAGTTTCTCCCGGATCAGAACAGTATTGAAGTTTGTCTAAAAGTGAACAGTACATTAAAACAAGAAATTTTAGGGTACATTTATAATACATTAAAGACATTTTAATAGGTTTTTAGATCAAAAATGTTACAATACCTACATTTTCAGCCAGTTCAGATATTTAATTAATACTGATATGTGTGTTGAGTTTCATGAAATTCTAAGCATGTTATCTACCTCAAAATCACCGGAAAAGAATATTCAAGTTTGACACGTTGCCATGGCAACAATATTTTAGATATCAATATCCCCTCAACAGTTTTACATCGGCCATATATATATTTTTTTTTGTTTAATTTTTTTAACTTGTCCTGACCATTTTTTATTTAAAAAAAAAAAATGTTCAGCTACAAATTATAATATTTTTCATTAATTTTCTTTGCAAACAAATTACTAGGTTCTTACATTTTAATAATAGCTGGAAAATATACAGCTGCTATGCAAATTCAATTAATTTGAATTATGCAAGTCCATGACAGCTATATTGAATACACACTTTTGCTGGAAAATAATGGCACACAATGCAAACAAATACTGTTTAATTTTAACTCCTCATCCAGTGTTGTATTATTATTAATGTCAGCCATTAATTTAGTCAGCCGTTTAATATGATGTCAGCTGGTTAGATATCTTACCTTGGTGACATTTAAATCCGCAACAACAATTAATTGAATTTTTAATATTAATAAGCATAAAAAGACATGTACAGAATGTAAGATGCCAACTTTTGAATTGCAGTGGCAAAAAAACATCAGCTTAATTCACTACTTGTAGTCCAGATTCTTTATATTGCTAACCTGCTGCTCAGCAATGAGCGAGGTCTTCAGGTTCTGCATCTCCTCGTTCTTTGTGCGTTCCAGGAGCTCTAGTTTGGCCAGGAGTGATGCCCTTTCCTCGGTCCACTGGCCACTGTCCAGTGACAATGCAGCACTGGTTTCCATACCAGTCTCTGTTTTTTCTACAGTAGGTCCCACTCTGAAACACAGAAGCAGGTGTGAGAATTGACCTCACCATACTGGAGATCAACCTGACTTTGCATTCATTACTTCTGAGCAGACATTTAGCTGATGCTTCCTTCTAAAACACAATGCTAATTCATAAGCTGAGCAAGTTGTTAGATTCTGAAGAACCTTTTTTGCATGTTGTGCAATGATTAATTATTGACAATAAGACAGGAACATGTGTTAATGAAGTAAACAGCAACAATTTAGTCTCTTTCTAGAGCTCTATAGGTGTTCATTGTTTGCTTCTTGCAGGGTTTGAACCTGCAACCTTTTATTACTAGCTTAGAGTTTTAACCACTTGGCAAAAACAGTTTTCTGAAGTGTTAAAATAGTCACCAGAATAAATAAATAAATAAATATTCAAAAACCTCCAATTTATTGGGATTGGTGTAAGACTTGAACACAAATCTGTTTTCTGTTTTTAATTAATCTCTATTTTACAGGCACATGTAACAGGGTTATCACATTTCTTGCTAATTTCTACTTAAGAAATGTTTTAATGAAACGGTTCACAGTTTTTGTTGGTTCTTTTTGATGTGCTAATTATTCACAAGAGTGAATGAAATCAGAAAGAGTAAGTGAATGCATGTAGCTTGTGTGTGTTTTCGGGTTTTAATTAACAGTAAAGTTAGAGGTAGAAGCTTTCATTTTAATGGACTAGAGCATCATTGTTTCAGTGTAATTTCATTTGTGTCCTCGTCAGATGCTTCTCTCACACAAAATGACTAAATCATCAAGAAACTGGGGTTATTATCAAACAAACCAACAGAAATAACACAACCACATTAAAAACATTATTTGTTTTACATTTTTTAAACAAAATGTGAGGAGTACTCGATTTTGCAAAACTCCCTGAAACAATGCTAAGATGTTGTGGGTGTTTGCTATGGGATTGTTAATGTTCTGGGCGGTTGCCCAAGTCAAAAGAGCTCATCCAAAAATTCACCAGTTTGGTGTCAAAAAGATTTTCTTTTTCAAATAAATTAATATTTTTCAGTAAGGAAGGCATTAAATAGCAGTAAATCAGTAACAGTAAAGACTGGTACAAAATAATTATTTCATATTAATACTGTTCTTTTTAACTTTCTATTCATCAAAGAATCCAAAAAAAGGTATCAAAGTTATCAACCGTTTTCAACGTTGATAATAAGAAATATTTCTTGAGCATCAAATCAGCATATTAGAATGATTTCTGAAGGATCATGTGACACTGAAGACTGGAGTAATGATGCTGAAAATTCAACTTTGCCATTACAGGAATATATTATATTGAAAATATCTTTAAGTGTGTATTTCTTTCTTTCTTTACAACGGACTGTTAAATTATTGTTAATATGTCTGTTATTCCTCCTTCCCTGATTGTTTGTTTAAATATTTTCAAATAGAGATAACTGCATATTTTTTTCATCCACCAGCCAAAATGTGCAACTTTGGATGGAAATATAGCTACTGTCTGAGGCCTAAAAGGTGCAAGGTGGACTGAACACCTAGGTTAATATTTAAAAGGAAAGTTTATCCAAAAAATGAAAATTCTGTCGTTATTTACTCACGTCATTCCAAACCTGTGTGAATAACTTTTTACCATGGAACACAAAAAAAATCAACATTGGGCTCCATTGACTTTCATTATAAAAACTAAAACATTTTTCAAAATATGTTCTGTGTTCCACAGCCACACCAATTGCTAGCAATTAAGCACCATTTATAATTTAACAGCTATGTGCTTTAAATCTGAATCTTAGAATGATTTTTGTGGGAACGTCTGATTAGAAAACTTGCATTTACTTACGTGTCAGTGGATTGTCTGTCTTTGAGCTGATTTTCAAGTAGCTCAATTTGTCCTAACAGTCTTGTCTCGGTCTCCTCTTTTTGGAGTTGAAAGTCTCTTAAGGCCTCTTGTAATGCAGCTTTGACTGCCTCCTCTTTCTCCTTCTCCACTCTCTGCAGGGCCTCCACCCTCTCCCGCTCCAGTCTTCCCAATAGTAGTGAGTTTTCTGCCTGCAGGTCTCCGATAACAGTCTTAAGCTCTTGCTCTTTCTCCTGGAAAGCCCTCTGCTCATCCTCCTTTTCCCTCTGTAAGGCATCAAACTGGTACTGGAGATCGCGCTGGATCTTCTGGACTCGTTCTTTGCAGTCTTTCTCCGCATCCTGCGACTTCTGTTTGAGTGCTGAAAACGCTTGGCGGAGCAGGGTGTTCTCCTCTTCATGCCGATCCACGAGTTCAGAGATGCAGTGGTCCTTCTCCAACCTCATGAGCGCTCGGAGCTCGGCCAGGCCCACCTCGTAGTCTTCGTTCTTCTGCTGGAGCTGCTGGTTCAACATGTCGATCTGCGATTGCAAGGTGGCTGTTTGGGTAGCAAGCTCCGCTCTCAACACCTCCTCTTGGGTACTTTTGGCCTCCTCGTACTGGAGTCCCATGTCCTCCATTTCGGCCTCTTTAAGAGCCATCTCCACTTCCAGTTTGCAGCGGGCATCTGCAAGTTCTGTGATGTGAGCCTCCAAGTCTTTCAAGCGTCCCTCACGTTCCTTGAGTTCAGCAGAATGGGAATCCACCAGATCTCTTAGCTTCAACAGGTTCTCCTGGACAAGTTTGTCAAGTGCACTTTCTTTTTCCAATCTGAGAGATTCCAGCTCTGCTTCATGTTGTTGTTTCAACCGTGCCTCCAGTTCCTGAAGGTGCACCTTCTCTGCCTTCTCCATCTCCTGTCTGATTTTCTGTTGGCCGTGCTCGATCTCAAAGTGAAGGTTCTCCAGCTGCCCAGCGAGTTCGTCCTTGGACAGCAATGTAGCTTTCAGTTCTTCACTTTGCTTCAAGATCTTCTCCTCAAGGTCCTGCACAGTTTGCTTGTGAAGATCTTGAAGTTCTTGCATAGAGCGTTCCCTCACACTCTCCAGCTGGGATATTTCCTTCTCCTTGCGCTCCACGAGCCCCTCCAATTCTAGCATTGCTCTCTGGACGTCTCGAACAATCTTCCGATTGCCTTCAAGCTCTTCCGTGAGAGTTTGTATCTGCTTTTCATGATCGTCCTTCAAACTCTGGAGATCGGTTTGTTGCGTTTCTCTCAGCTCCTCCTCGTGACAGTATCTGACACTGTTGAGAGCGTTTCGGACCTCAATGGTCATTGTTTTCAGGGTGAATCCAAAGTCTCTTTGCTCTTTCAGAACAAGACCTCGAAAGTGATAAATGTCTTCTTTAACTTTCCTCAAATTGTTCTGGGACTCTTCCGCAGCAGAACGGTACCTGTCTGCTGACAGCTTGAGTACTGCAATCTTTGAATTTTCCTTCTCAAGTGTAGTAGTGTCCTGTATACGCTTGCTATCGATTGCATTAATGACAGAGGAGTAAAGAGACTCCACCATCATCTCTGGGCTTGTGGGATCACTTATGGGATTAGGTGACATCAAGTTCTCCTCAATAACAAACTCATTAACTGCTGACATGAAATCCGACTCAGGACTTTCTGCCAACGAGTCCAAGTCCAACGAGCCTTGCTGTAATACAGGATCCATATTGGGATGCCCAATGGTTTCAAAGTCAAAAGTCTGGGCATCTATGCTGTCAGGTGATAGGTCCTCCAAGTGACCAGGAAGCGCCAGGGGTTGGCAGTCCGGTGCTTTTAAACTGAGAGTGGACAAAGTTTTGGTGGAGGTAGAGGTGATTTCAGTTGTGCTTTTAGATCTGGGTGTTAATGCGGTGAATCTTTGAGCACTCTGGCTACAGGAAAACTATAAGGCCAATGCAACAAGTTAAAATCATATGGGAAATGACATTGCTATAAAAGTCAAACTAGACTATATAAATCTGTTATGTTGCAATGTATCGGAAGTAATGACAGATCTTGCATACATCACTTGCCATTGCTTGGATTAGTCACATTAAGATCAACAAAACTCATTTAAAAAACAGATAAGGTGAATTTCAATTTCATCTTTACAGGTTTATAACATCCAATATTTCAAACACTTAGCAACAAGTTATAAAAATTAAATGACTGAAGTGTGAACACAAAGTACCTTTTGTTCATTTAGTAGGTCTGTGATAGTTTGTGACATCTCGTCCACACTCTGCGCAGCCTGAACCAGCTGATGAAGAACCGCAATACTCTGGTTAAGAGGCTCAAAGTCACATAGTGTTGGGACCCTGATGAAGAAAACAGGCAACAGACCATCATCTAGGGGTATTTAGCCATAATATAAAGGTTAATGGCTCAAAAAACACAAGAAAAGCAGTTTTGCATTGAGAAGTTACGGTAGAAATGTGTGTATTGTGACCGGGTAAGAGGCATTTACCTGAGGTAAGGCTGAACCTCGAAAGGACAACAGGACTTGAGATACTGCAGGTCACTCAGGGAAATATATGGAAGCTCAAAGTCAAACTTTCGAGGCTTTCGGGTCTAAACACAAAAACAAAAAAAAGATTCATTAATGCTGAAATATCCTCAAATTCCATGTAGGAATTCAGAAAGATAAAAACACGTTCATAGACTCACGCAAAACGAAGAGGGTGGCCATGAGTCCAGTCCTCGAAACAACCGGTTTCTGAGGAACGATTTCCCTGAGACAAACAAAAGCAGTGTTTTCAAAGCAATCTGGCACGCAGGTGTCCATGTTTGTACCCAAACTAAAAGAAACCATATAAAATATGAAGAATAAAGAGAATAAACTTACTGAAGAGCTTCCCAAAGCATTCCCTTTTTACTTTTTCTGCCTCATAGAGGTTTTTCCCATCTTTCACAAGAGCATTGGCCCACTGGAAGAAAAAATAAATAAAACATTAAAACAAATTAAAACGCAAATAAAACAGCCAGCCCAGATATTTTTTTAACAAACAATAATTAAATGTGCAGAAATTTTATAAAAACAAAATAAATATCATTCACTCTCTCTCTGGTCAAATCACTTCTGGTCACATCTGCATCTCTATAGAATATGAATTAATGTAGCTAAATCTTACTTGTCTGTAGTGTCCTATAAACATTTTGCGTCTGACCACCTCCACTACGGCGAGACAGTACATCTGTGGCACAGTGCTGAGCGCCTCCACCACCCGCACGCGCTCCAGCAGCTCCGTCAGCAGCCTCAGGAGAGCCTGCAGCTTCTCTCCATCCTGATCAGCGTGAAGCATCACGTAGCAGCACCATCTGATGGAGGAGACACCACAGTGCAGTTAGGAAACGCTTACAATTCACCTTAAATATGTATAGCTCTATGGATTCAAAATAGCCAAAATCAAAGCCCAAACTACTTTATGGTCAAGCCAAGTTTTAATGTTTTCCACGAAGAAGGAAGAAGAAAAACACTGCTCTTACTTGAGACGAACTTGAAGGTTGTTGGCGAGCTCCTGTTTGGCAGTGGTACACTTCTGCTTGATGTCTAGTAGTTTCCTGTGATTGGTCAGCATGATCATCAGCTGGTTGGCGTGACTCAGACACAGGTCAGGCAGCACCGAGGTGTCCTTCAGGTTTTCAGCCCTCTTCTGATTGGCAAGAAATCCCTAGTAGAAGGCAAAGGAGAACACATGAGGAAGAGTAGCTTTCTGAAAAACTCGTGTTTTGCACAGCTTTGTAATATATTCAAACATTAGAAACGTGTGAAAGAAGTTTATTGTTTTGTCGATCTGCCTCAATGTAATACAGGTTTATATAAAGGCTGTTATTGAAGGATGGAGTAGCGCCAACTATTAGACCTCACAGTAAACCCACAAAAAGTAAGTGTTGCAACCTACATTTGAAGAGGTTAACCAATCATATATACACATCTTAAAGTCACAGTAGCAAAAAACAAAGGTTGGAAAATGGCTATAAACTATAGGGGGAAAAAGCACCCCTCTAGGCTGTTTTATGCTGACTATAAAAATGAGAGTTGCTTACCTGAGCAAGTTCCTGCTGTTCATTGACCAACCGTTTACAGCTTGCTATCATTTGGTCAAGAGCATACAATCGGTCTTCAAGTCCTTTGATGGCCTTCATGTTCTGATTATCCAATTTGGTAATCGTCTCGCGGCATTCAGATAGAAAGGGTTGGATAATTCGTGGGTCGAGCTGGAAGCATAAAGAGCATGTGTGACATCAGTGGTTCAACTGTAAAGTTACGAAGCTACGAGAATACTTTTTTTGCGCAAAGAAAACAAAAATAACGACTTTATTCCACATTTTCGTCTTTACTGCGTCACTTTGGACGTGCGTTCACGACAGTACCATGAAGCAAGCGCGTGGCGGCGCCGGCGCTGACCGAGATGCGGCGTGATACTGTCGTGAACGCTCGTCCACAAGTGACGCAGTAGAGACGAAAATGTGGAATAAAGTCATTCTTTTTGTTTTCTTTGCGCAAAAAAGTATTCTCGTAGCTTCGTAACTTTACAGTTGAACCACTGATGTCACACGGACTACTTTGTCGATCATCTTGGTACTTTTCTGGACCTTGAACGTGGTAGTTACCTTGCGGTCTATGGGAGGGTCAGAGAGCCCTCATATTTCATCAAAAATATCTTAAACCCATAAAAAGGTCTCACAAGGGTGAGTAATTAATGACAGAATTTTCATTTTTGGGTGAACTAACCCTTTAATTAAAAGTATTAATTTATTTTTTTTAAATCCTATTGACCACAAACTTTTAAACATTAGTAGATGTTGCAGCCACAGTATATGGTTATTTTTGATGGAAATGAAACAAAACATGGTTTATATTTTAATACCCATTAGGTAATTCTTATATTTGGATAATCCAGTGAATTAAATAGGTTAACCTTTTTTTTTTTACTCTCTATTAGGAACTTGATGGAGGCAACCCAAACATAATAAGATTATTCATAACAAATGAATAAGTCTGACTTGAGCCCAAAAACAGTGTCACATTACATAATCGTGCTTGAGCTGGGGGAAAAAAAGTCTTAAAACACTAAATCTGATTGGATATTTGAGGATATTGTAAAATATGACATCACATCAGTTATATGTTATATATACCTAGATTTTTCTTATAGCATTTTATTATGCTATAGTTGAGATGTTGCTTCTCACACAACTAAATTCTGCATCACGTTACACTCTTAAGGTTATCGTCTTACTGATCTCAGACTCTGTATTTTAGCATTACTCTATGTCTCTGTCATATAAGCAACTTAAAGCATTCCTGCTTACTAATAGCTGTGTAAATATACGTAATCTGATATAAATAGTATAGCAAAATCTCTACTGTGTGACACACCTCTACAGTCACATCATCATAATGCCCATTACTGTCTAGCTCAAAACAATATAAAGGTTGCCACAGGTTTACAGACTGATTCATGTTTTTAACCAAAACATTTCCTTCCCAATGACTCGCCTATTACTCACCCTGTTGATTGAGTCAAAACACTTCCTCACTACTGACTCCACATCGTTAGGTCTGTCCTGAACGTTGATCCAATCCAAGAGCGTGACATTGAAAGAGGGTGTGGCTCCCCTCTCCGGAGACTCCTCCTCTTCCTCTAGAGCTGCTTTTAGACTACAGCTGCTCTTCAGTCTGTCCTGAGGAGAGAAGGACGCCTGGGACGACGCTTCCCCTGAAGCAGAGACCGGCGAGGGTGACTTCCGATTCTTATGGCTGTCAGCGGGACAGAGGATAGCGGACTGGGTGGATGTTTCTCCTACTTCATCCTCATTCTCGTCTTCATCTGTGGTTCTCGGGTGAGGGGAGCTGGACTTCTCCAAGCTTTCTCTGTAGCTCTGCCGAGTCAAACACTCAAGCAGTGGAATCTTCGCCATGACTGAGACAGCAGTGCCAAGCCTGATGAATTAACATTAATATTAGTGATCTCTATTCACACAATACACGGGCGTTAAAAAGTTTAGGGTCAGCTTATTCATTTACTATTCAGCAAAGACACATTAAATTGATCAAATGTGTCAGTAAAACATTTATAATGTTAAAAAATACATATTTTTCAAATAAATGCTGTTCTTTTGAAATTTCTATGAACAAAAAAAATCTTGAAAGAAAATGTATCCCGGTTTCCACAAAAATATTAAGCAATATTTAATCATTTTTAACATTGATAATGAGAAGAAAAGTTTCTTGAGCAGCAAATTGGCATATTAGACTCTGAAGACTGGAGTAATGATGCTGAAAATTCTCAAGCAGTGGAATCTTCGCCATGACTGAGACAGCAGTGCCAAGCCTGATGAATTAACATTAATATTAGTGATCTCTATTCACACAATACACGGGCGTTAAAAAGTTTAGGGTCAGCTTATTCATTTACTATTCAGCAAAGACACATTAAATTGATCAAATGTGTCAGTAAAACATTTATAATGTTAAAAAATACATATTTTTCAAATAAATGCTGTTCTTTTGAAATTTCTATGAACAAAAAAAATCTTGAAAGAAAATGTATCCCGGTTTCCACAAAAATATTAAGCAATATTTAATCATTTTTAACATTGATAATGAGAAGAAAAGTTTCTTGAGCAGCAAATTGGCATATTAGACTCTGAAGACTGGAGTAATGATGCTGAAAATTCAGCTTTGCATCACAGGAATAAATTACATTTTAAAATATATTCGAGAAGAAAATAGTTCTTTTAAATTGTAAAAATATTTTATAATATTACTGTTTTTACTGTATTTTTGATCAAATAAACGCAGCTCTGGTGAGCATAAGAGACTTCTTTCAAAAACATTTTTAAAAATCTTACCGACCTCAAACTATTGAATGGCAGTGAAAGAAAGAAAAGAAAGAAAGACATACTTTGTGAGTTTTAATTTGATGTCTTCAAAATCCTGTTGGTAATTTGTATAAGCAGTGTCGAATTTCATGAGGAGTTTTTGATAGGATAGGGTGCAATCGTCCAGGTTAGCCATGATGGCCGCCCATCCCTGGTGCTGAAGGTGTTCATCATGGACCAGACGCTCACAGAACAAGCAAAGCTTCTTGGCAACCTCAAACATTTCCTAAAAAAGGGCATAACACAGGGTCATTTGCATACAAATGTAAGAAACCCTTCCATCTAAGCCTCTGTCATTTACAAGAGAGCTTTGAGTGTATTTGCATTGATGCTCTCAAATGTACATGACGCTCAAACCTTACATAAAAATCATTGATATAACACAGTGTGGATGAGCATAGATGTGTAAAACTGAGTAAATCTAAGAAGACAGAGGTTGGTCATTAGGTCAGAACAGAAGTTGGCCTGTACCACAGCCAGTTGAGTGCGGGAAGCGACGGTGTGAAAGACGGCAGGCATCATGAGTGACTCCTCCACCTTCAGCTCCATCTCATTCTCTATGGAGAAGGTCGTTTTGGGGATGGTTGGAGCTCGGTCAGACAGGATCATCTCTTTGTTGAATAAGAAGATCGGGTTGGTGTCCTGAGGCAGCCAGAGACAAAATTCAATTGTCATTTAGTAATCATGCTACTCAAGATCCTCAATATTTCAGGGTTATTTTAAATGCACAGAAAGCTATTCAAATAATACAATTATTATATGCACTGCTTCTTTGCGATTTTCATGTCAAACATGTTAGCAGTGCTAAAGTACTTTGCAGCAATGATTACATATGTGGCTATATAATTCATATATAATAACTATTATTACTCTCTAAACAAATGTTGAAAAGCAAAAATGCTGTTTGGGTGTTTTATTTTGCTTGTTACTCACCGTTCCGGCACTGTAGCTGCACACGCGCCTCTCTGCCACCATACACTCCCCTCCATTGACCACCAGCACCTGGTGCTGGACTGCAATTTTATATTTGGCCTGAATGGCATGTTTAAGGTCCAAAACACTATAAAGGGCACAAAGCACAATGCATTTTAGTAACCCAGTAAAACAAATCAGGACTCAATTTACAAACAAATCTGCATACAAACAGAATACAGAAACGACTGATGGAATTCAGACTTTTCAGGAATTAAGAAGACGTATATAATATAATAATAATAATTTACATTTGCACCTTACCCATCATAGGATTATACAGGTATTTACACTGGAATAATGTAATTAATAAATTAGTATGTTGCATCTCTAAGTATCACCTATATTATATATTACATATTATATTATTCAATATAATGCAGTTTCTCATGAATATGTAAATATATGTATGTAAACTCATGTAAATTTAGACAAATTTAAAGTCAAACTCATTCAGCTAATTTCAGGATGTTTGAAGACAAAAATAAACATTACTGTAAGGTGTTCATATTTATTTAGCCATTTTTGTTAATGTTAGTTTCTAGAAGTTAACATCAAAGGTCGCAATGATTACATTGGTTAATGCATTATGAAACTACAAAGTAACATTAACAACTACTAGACAAAAATTATAGTTCCATGTCAATTCATGATATCTCATACATTAACTATGATAAACAATTTCAAGAAGTTATTCACACACACACAATATGTTCTGTAAAACAGCACAACCTAATGTAATGTCTTCACGTTACGGTGGAAACAAATTAGGCCTTAAACGTTCACTTTTTCTTAAAAACAGTAAATTCTCTTACGTTTGGACAGCAAGTTCAGTGTCAAATGTCAATGTGCTTCCGTTGTTGACTTGAAACACATACAACTTCATGTTGAATTCTCCGCTGAGCCTGCCTCCAGCTTGATTTGTTCATCTAGTCAATTATGGCTCTCTGATTGAAAGTAAATGAAATGCACTTAATTCAAGTCAAGGTAACAACAAAACTTACTACTGATGATGAAGATTTCTGCTTTGATTAACATTTTAAGGCAAGACACCACAGGTGAATAGGGGATATACTTTCCCCAGTTGATTATTCAGAGCACATAAAAAAATAATTTTGCACTACAAGTTTCTGTAATGTTATGTTTAAATATGCAAGTGATGCATTGTGTAATTCTAAATACACTAATTTGCACACATTTCCAGGAAAGAAATCTAATTAAGCCAAGGTTCAATATTCTTGTTTCATATTGTTGACATATTAGTAGGGCTGCACGATAAATCGAAATGGAATCGAGATCGCATTTCGACAGAAGCTGTCACGTGATGATGATTTCCTGCTGATTACAGAATCGGCTTTTTTAACAAAATGCGCATGACAATCGCATTCGATTAATCGTGCAGCCCTACATATTAGAGTTGGTTTTTACAGAGGGCATTTTTGATATTGTTATCATCACTCCATAAATCAGAAATTACTGTCAACAGTCAGAAAAAATAAATACATTTTCTCATGTTTTTAGGAAATAAATCAGGTGAATAATATAGGAACAAACTTCTCTGTAACAACCTTGAGAATATAAATAGGAATAAAACTGTAAAGTTCAGTTATGCAAGTAGAGATTTCTGACTCACTACATGAGAAAAAACTCATTTTGAAAAAACAGCCTTTAAGGATGCGTATTGTAATTTAAATCTATAGACGCAAAAAGTGTAGATAAAGTGTAATAAAAGAAAACACCTAAATGTGTATTTTGTATGTTTTCTTTCCACTAATCTGAAAGAAGGTATGGAAGCAAAAGAGCCCAAAATCACAAAACTGACCAGTGCATGAAAAAACAATGGTTTTGCCTGTAGTTTCTTGCCTTAATTAACTTAAAATGATAATACATATAACAAAATGGGGTTAATAAATGGTTACACTTTAAAAGGCATTTAGAGACATCTGTTCAAGCACACATAACCTAGAAACCATAACAGCCCTACTACATGACTGTTTCAATAGATAACAAGCTGGAAAATCCCCAGATAACCGGCTAATCACAGTGATGAGGGACTTCATTCTTGACAGATTATGACAAGAACATTGAATAAATCTCTGGGGTTGTTTGTACTCTATAATGTGGTTAGTTCTGTAAAACGGCACACAGGCCAGCATGACCATGTGTCCCAACAATGGGAATATTAATGCCGAGTCATGTTGTTCCCTGTGGGTAAACACCATCAATACACGCTAAGAGACCCTTTGTACCCTAATTCCCCATGAACGGGTGTAAAACTTTGACAGGATGCTTTGTAGCAAATGTTATTATGGATACAAGGAATAAGGCGTGGATACCAGGAACAGCACGTGGTTTGTGTGGCCCACATGGGTAACCAATATTGTTTTAATCGAATATAACGTGGACCACAATTTTTATTAGTCTGTTTGTCACAACGTATAATGTGTCGAAATTGATTGACAGCTTTCCCCTGGGCTAAGCAGTCATAACTTGATCTTCTAAGTCAAAATATGATCTAAAATAGCTTGTTTTCTAAAACATTTCTGCAAAATAGGAGACTCCTGAAGGCTACAAGTCTTTGTTTAGTTGTTTGAAAGGCGCTGATCATTATTTAGGGAGGGTGACAGTACGTCCAAATTTCACTCAAACCATCACCAGGACGCTAAACCCTCATCAATATCACATTACATGAGATCTAACCCACTAAACCGCCCTGGTTCAACAATCTTAACCTGGTTATGTTTACATTATCTAATTATAGTTTGTGGAAGAATTCCGTATTGGAGACCCAAACAGCCTCAAATTATCCGGTATTTGATTTTAAACTTCAACATCTACAATATAAAACGCTTCAAATGTATCAGATAGTCTTACCTGAGCTGTCTTCAGTCCATTCTCTGCATGCAAGCAGATTAATAGGTTGTTTTTGGCTGAGATGTGGAGGTTTCTGTCAGCTGGAGGTTGAAGCTGTCGGGCTAACAGGCTAAAGCTCATCACTCCAAACACGGGCCTTTGTTTTTAATTCCCATAAAACGCACAAAGTCTTCCAGAACGAATTGGGATAAATTCACTAGTGCTTCATCTTTCAAGACATGCAGGTTAGGAGGAGCGGTAATAAGATCGGAGTTTTGTCATCGAGCTTTTTTCTCGCAGGGTTGAGTAAGGCTCCGCTAATGCTGCTTCTCCTGCTGCTGTTTTGTTATTGTCGTCACTGCGCAGCGAGGTGCATTCTGGGAAGGGCAACGGTCAGCAGTAAAGCGCTGGTCTGGGATCAGTTTACAAGGCTGGCTTTGATTCGGAGTGCTGCTGGAGTTACGAGGACGGTGATCTGAGATCAGCCACTTCAGGGCAACTGGCTGGTGTAATGATAAGGTGTGGGAACAGTTTGAACAAATGTTGGAAAAAACATAACATTTATTATGTTGTTTACGTCTAAAGTACGACAAATACAAGATCCTAAAATTTCAAGAGGTTATTTGTGTCGTTTGATAGCAGTGTTTATTATTATTATTCTCCATAACCTACAATTGAGTAGAATCATTCAATATGAATTTATAGTCATTGTTGCTATTGCGATATCCCAACTATATCCCAATTTTCAAATAGCCTATATTGTAATATAAGCAATACTTTCATCTTAGATGTACTATTTCGTTGACTTTGATTGTGCATTTTAATTTTTGTATTTATATATTTATTTTTAACATTTTAGTTTGTTCATTTTGAGTTAATTAAATTAAGGCATAGCGTAGATTTAAATGTTAATTATTATTTTATTTGAATGGTATTATTATTATTATTATTTAAATATCTCATTTATTTAATTTTTTGTGTATTTTACATAAATGACAATTATATATATATATATAGATATATATATATATATATATATATATATGTATAATTTTATGTTTTTATTTATTTTTTTATAACGTGTATTCTGCTAAAATCAGCTGCCCCATCATCTTAAATCATCTTTTATTTATGGATTTGGCAGATGCTTTTATCCAAAGTAATTTACATTGCATGAAAACCTTCCTTCGATGTTCCTTGTTTCCACTGCTGTCATGGAATTATGCTGTACAAAATGTTATTCTTTGGCTTAGTGTTCAGTTATAGGTTTAGGTGTACATGAACTTATCCAGGGACACTATTGACATTGGTTGAACATTTACATAACACCTTTATATAATACCAATATTAATGTGCATTGTCCAAATAAATAAATAAACAAATAAATAAATAGTTTACTTAAGTATAGTTAAACAAAAGTGTATTTATTTATTTATTTGAATTCTCTCGATTCCTTTATCAGATTTCACACTGAAATTTCAAACCCATAGCCTTGGTGTTGCTAACAGTTGGAGAAAATAAATGTTTCCGTTTATTTTCCCTAAATAATACATGCTATCAACCTGTAAATGCTAAACTCATCTAGTTGCCAATTAGCTGCCAATTTATTTATCTATATTTAAATATATTTGAATCTTTACAACATGTGACACAAAGTACAGGGAGGTCACAGAAAAAAAAACAATTTGTAGGAATTTAATAAGCATATGGGGTAAATTCATGTTTTTTAACTTTTTACAACAGAAACACATAGAATAAAAAGTTATTCTATGTGTTTCTGTTGTAAAAAGTTAAAAAAACATTCATTTAAAGTTTAAATTTTAAATTTAAAGTTTAAAAAAATCACTTATTTCATTTTAGACTGACTGTTTAAATTGTCAGAAAGACATGAGGCTGAATATTATTAAATCTAGAAATATTTAATAAGCATTTGGTCTTTTTTGGCCTTTAGGCCTTTTACTGAAAGCTGAAACCCATGATATTATATTATATTATATTCATGGCAAATCTGTCTGCCTTGTGCTTTAGGGGGCTTCTCGGTTAAAATAGGACAGAAGTCATTTTGAGAATGACGAGGACCCGTGAACCATTGCTTTGTATTCTACACACCAAGAATGTGAACATTCATATAAATTATTATCTGTAATATGTTTCCTGATATGCTAACTACTCCAATAGTGCAAACGCCTTTATACCTTGTGATGCAAATGAATGTGTTATCAGCAACAGTGTCAGTGCAAATGCCATCTGTGCAGCACTGTAACATAGGTAACAACTTGTTTGTGGTTAACAACTGTTACTTTTCTAGAGACTTTAGGTCAGTGCAGTTTCAAGTGTAACGGTATGAAAAGCACTTGAAATATTGGTAACAAATGCCTTGAAGGTGTGAGTGGCTGAAACTCAGTTACAGTATGCAGCTATTTCAAGTCAAGTCACGGCAAGCTCTTCATTGTCAGGAGCACAGACAAACAGACTGTACAGTGAAATTCCTACTTATATGTCCTCAAGATACTGTTGGATATAAAACAAGCAATTAACAAATACACAAATTGATGAATGAATGGAAGATACAAATGAAAATATGATTAATATGTAAAACTATATGCATACATTTTTCTGTACATTTATAATAACAAGAAAAAAAGAAAGGGAAAATGATAATTATGTCAAAACAACACAGAACCACACTGACTATTATTGACAGACAAAAAAAACTAAACACTGAGATATTTTTCAACGTATATTCCACAAAAGTATTAAATAGTTACTTGTTTGGACTGACATGAGGGTGAGTAATTTATACAAAATTTTCATTTATTTGGTGAACTATCCATTAAACAGAAAGACAGATATATAGATGATGGATGGATGGATGGATGGATGGACAGGTAGATAAATAGACAGACAGACGAATAGACAGAAGGATGGATGGATGGACAGGTAGATAAATAGACAGACATACAAACAGATGGATAGACGGATGGATGGATGGATGGATGGATGGACAGGTAGATAAATAGACAGACAGACAGACAGACAGACAGACGGATAGACAGATGGATGGATGGATGGATGGATGGAAAGGTAGATAAATAGACAGACAGACAGACAAACAGATGGATGGATGGATGGGCAAACAGACTGACAGATGGATAGATGGTGAGATGGACAGAAAGACAGATAGATGGATGGATGGATGGATGGACAGGTAGATAAATAGGCAGACAGACAGACAGACAGACGGATAGACAGATGGATGGATGGATGGACAGGTAGATAAATAGACAGACAGACAAACAGATGGATAGATGGATGGATGGATGGACAGGTAGATAAATAGACAGACAGACAAACAGATGGATAGATGGATGGATGGATGGACAGGTAGATAAATAGACAGACAGACAAACAGATGGATAGATGGATGGATGGATGGACAGGTAGATAAATAGACAGACAGACAAACAGATGGATAGATGGATGGATGGATGGACAGGTAGATAAATAGACAGACAGACAAACAGATGGATAGATGGATGGATGGATGGACAGGTAGATAAATAGACAGACAGACAAACAGATGGATAGATGGATGGATGGATGGACAGGTAGATAAATAGACAGACAGACAAACAGACGTATAGGCAGATGGATGCATGGATGGATAGATGGAAAGGTAAGGATGGACAGGTAGATAAATAGGCAGACAGACAGACAGACAGACGGATAGACGAATGGATGGATGGATGGATGGATGGATGGACAGGTATAAATAGACAAACAGACAAACAGACAGATAGACGGATGGATGGATGGATGGAAAGGTAGATAAATAGACAGACAGAGAAACAGATGGATAGACGGATGGGAGGATGCATGGACAGACAGACAGACAGACAGACAGATAGATAGATAGATAGATAGATAGATAGATGACAGTAAGACAGTGCTGGGGAAAGTTACTTTTAAATGTAATGCATTACATTGTTGTATTACTTACACTCTAAAAAAAATGCTGGATTAAATATAACCCAGCGCTGTGTAAAATATGGACAAACCCAGCTATTGGGTTGTTTTGACCCAGCGATTGGGTGAAATGTTTAACCTAACCTTCTGGGTAGTAACCCAACCACTGGGTCAAAACAACCCAATAGCTGGGTTTGTCCATATTTTACCCAGTGCTGGGTTGTATTTAATCCAGCATGTTTTAGAGTGTAGTTACTATTTATGGAAAGTAATGCGTTACGTTACGTTACACTGCAGTTAGATAAGTAGACAGACAGACAGACAGACAGATAGATAGATAGATAGATAGATAGATAGATAGATAAAGTGTCTTAAGTTACACATAGAACTTTGAAATATAAATAATGCATGAAAAAGGTCAGCCATCAATTCCTTTCGGTTCTTGTGCAGTACAAATATAAGAGTTTTTATATTTAATATTTGCACAGAACCTCTATATTGTGTTATCAAGATCTAAATGCTATTTGGAGGTTGACATTTCATTGCAAAATAGATATAGCGCACTGTAATAAACTGACACACAGTGCTGAGCTGATTTCAGGAGCAATACTATTGCATTAAGATGCTAGATTTGTTTTCACTAAAGTTTTTATATAGACAAATAATACAAGCCTGATAAATAATACCAAACACACATATATACCTTAAAAACAAAAGATGGAGAACATTTTCTAGTAATGTACCTGAAAAAGTAATACAAATCTGACGAGATGCTTGGAATGTGGTGAGTCAGTTATTTCAAGAAAAACATACTATAATTTTATCTATGAGGAGTAGAGAGCATCAATAACGTTCTGGGTCATGTGCATATCTTTGGTAGTGTTACCTTATGACAGCTGTGTGATGAAAATGTCCTAATGTGATAAAAACATGTCCCACATGTGACCAACAGATGGAGACACACTACTTTGAATCGCTCTGAAATGAGTCACTTGCTCTCAGTGAAGCTTGCCAATCAATCTCTGGACAGATGTCTCCACTGGATTGCACCATTCTAGCTTGACAAATCTCATGTCCCCTCCCTCAGTTGCATCTAAAGAGATTAATCCCAAATATATTTCATAACTGATACATTTGAATACAGAATCGTTTGAAAATTACCATAATCTTTCCCTCTGGATTAACCCAGGACTATTAATAAGGGCGACTTGGCTATAACTTATTTCCTGGTCTTTTGATGAATTGCTTCATTTCAATATCTACATTCTGAAGCTTATGAAGCTCAAAGATGATGTAAAAAATGACTCCGAGATTTGGGTTCAAATAAGGCTGAAAAATGCTGAGTGCTTTATTGCCTGAATCTCATAAGTGTTGCATAACTTCTTGCATGATCAGTGCAATATCAGCATTTTTTAGTGGATGTTAAAACGCTGAAAGCCATAAGCAGTTTTTATCTAAGGAAAAGTGGGTCTCCTCTTAGATTCATCTGCACTGAATCTCCATTATCTTAATTAATAAAGTTTGGTGAATTTTATTCTCACTAGTTTCAAATGGGAAATAATCTAATGCCGCAAGATTTCTCTCAAGATCAAAGTAAGTGTTCGTGATAAAATGGAATATGAATAAAGCCCACAGCATATCTTTTAAGTTCAGGCATCTCAGACAACGTAGCCTACTTGCACATATACACACTGAGATGTTTGTGAATATTGCAGATTAGACACAAAATAATAAAATTGTCTCAGATGTTGAAATAACATAAAAATGTCTATCCAGTCTATATGACATATATTAAATTAATGTGTATAATATGAATCTTATGTTCTCTGTTATGTTGCTATGTACTCTCTGACTGAAGTATATTAATAAATAAGGGAATAGGAATTTTGAGGAACTTTATACCACAAATAGTGTAAGAAAATGTTGCTTCAGTTAAAAAAAAAACTTCTCTATTAATCTTATCTGTGTGAATTGTTATTCAGATGTGTTAATAAAAAATGCTATTGTGATTTTCTGCCTAACTTTAACTTTTAGGTATCAGTTTTGAGGTAAAGATTTATTGTCATCGTTTTTTTTTTTTTGTCATATGTGTGCAGACTTCAGCTGTATAAGTCACAGAGCAAGTCTTTTGTGGTATAAAAAGTGGAAGAAAATGTCAACATGAAGCGGATTACAGCACAGACCCTGTGGAAGTGAGATGCAGAGATTGTGTCGATTCTAATCACATCACAAAATGATACCTAACAAGTGACTCAATGGGGCCATTCGACAAAACAGTGTGAGAAGCGATCTCCCCAAAGCCAGGGAAGAAATAATCGATACTGGCAGTATTAGGCGGTTAAACTGCAACATCTTGGTTATTTACCCATTCAATGGTTATTTAATGCTTCAAAGGTTTAAAAATCACTTTATCCTTGGGATTTTCCTGTTTAAAAAAAACATGAATATGGCATCATGCTTTTTGGACCTATAGCCCTACACTACACCATGTTATTTGAGCACATATGGCAGAACCATATATTGTATCATTAACACAAAATGAAAATACCATGATAAATGAATATAGCAATCATTCAGAATCATGGTATTTATCTGATATCATGGTAACATCACAGTAGCCTACTTTAAAGCAAGGGTGAATCTTGTTAGAATAAATGCTAGAGAATGCCCTGATACTGCATTTACAGTGGACAGACACATCGTTATTTGAAGTAAACCCAACAATAACTCTGTCAAGCCTGAGATGTAATGTGTATTATAGCTAGGCTACTGTAAATTATGGTCTTTTGATATTGCTAAGGCTTTAACCCTCGATCAGAAACGGCAGTCACTGATTACTTGTTGTGTGTGTCAGTGAAGGACTGAACAATTATAAGCATTAAACTGTCAAGAAAAATATCTGGTTACATAATACTGAAGCATCAATCGCTGTATACCAACAACACCACCTAAACATCCAATCGAATTTCATGTGTGACGTCGCAATGGATGGTAGTGATGTCCGAATCGTTCTTATGAGCCGAATCTTTGTAATGATTTTGTTTAACCGACTCGCGAAGCGTTTGTAAATCACTGTAGGCTACATGACTTGGATAGCACTGGGAGATAGGAACATTAATTACGTTATACTATATTTCATAAGTAGAGCTAACTTAAATAGGGAACAATTTGGCTATTTCTAATAATATTGCTAACAATGAACAAAACATTTGAAATGAAAGCTGTGAGAATCAAAGCAATGGTGGGAATCTGATTTGGAAACAACAATAGGCTTGAACAGGCTTGTTTTCATTTCTAAAAATAATGTGCTTAAATTTACTGTAGCCTAAATCTAATTAGAATTAAACTAGATATCACCGTTTACATAGACTAAATGTCACGTTTACCGTTAGGTTACTCGGTTAAATTTCGCTACGTAATTCAGTCATTTCAATTAATCAATGGAGTTTCGCGTGAGGGCGAAAAACAGAAATCTACTTGGTTTGAAAGGGACTTTCACACAATGCTACGCTCCTGAGAAAATAGGCTAATAGACATTTTTGAGCGCGAAATATCTCTAATGTGACAGTAGCCTACCTTTAGGTGTATAATTAGCAACGTTATTACACAAATTAAATGTAAAATGCAGCGAAGGGGGTTCTGGAAACACTTTTGAGCGCTAACTAAAAAGAATCAGTCATTCGACTCTTCGAACAGGTTCACTAAGCGAACCGACTCGCTAAAAGATTCGGACTTTCCACATCTAGTGGATGGAGGTGGGGGACGGGGAGGGACTTCTTGGACCAAAAGAGGATTCAAACGTGTTTATGACTTTAGAGTAGAACCGTCGCATTCAGTCAGTCAATGGACTCGGGCGCATTGCGATAACCAGTCTCATTGTGTTCGCTTCAGGCTGGGAAGCAAAACAGAGAGAGATTCGGCCCAGAAGATCGCCCAAAAACAAAGGTGTGTCCATCTGAAAGACATTCATTGTCAAAAAAGGACAGGACAGGCGCAAAAGAGCGAGCTCGTCGCTGGGAACAATGATGCTGATTGAAGTTTTGATATTATGAGCAAGGCGCGCGGATTGTTGGAAACCCATTTGATGCGTCACTTATAGTTGTGATCGTTCTTTGTCAGATTAGAGTGTGCAGTGCGGATTCCTCGCGCGCTCTCCAAATCATTCCAAACGCGGCGTTTCTATTATTCCCGTGAGCTGTTCCTAGATCCACAACGATGAATTACCAATCGAGCGTCCCGGTCTCGGTGTCAGTGTCCGGGATCTCTCAGCAGTCCCAGCCCGCCATGCCCACCCCGGGTACGGTACCGGCACCGGTGCCAGTTCCCCCACCTCAGTTCGGATCCGGATCGTCCGGGAGCTCCGGGGCGGGTCAGTTTGGCTCGGGAACCGTATCGGGCCCTGCAGCGCAGTCCGGCGCGTCGGGCTCCCAGTTCGTTTTGTCCAACTCAGCAGCCATAAGAGCCGAGATCCATCGGTTCGAGTCCGTCCACCCGAACATTTATGCAATATACGACCTGATCGAGCGCATCGATGACCTGGCCCTCCAGAACCAGATCCGCGAGCATGTGATCTCTATTGAAGGTAAGCGCTAGACCAGATTAAAAGATGCCACAATGAAACATTGTATTGTCTGTCAGTGTAAAGACGAAAGCAGATGGTGCATGAAAACTAGGCGACATAAATGAGCGTACATCTCTAATCATCCTAATTAAGGGCTACTGATAGACCACCAAGATGACTTGTGATCACTAAATATGCAATACAATATTTCAATGCTGTTCAATTGAGTTGTGATACCAGTTTCACAAAATAGGTTTGATTTGCTTTGAAATGCATAAATAATACTGATGTTTACACTTTCTTTAGTTGGATTGTTTGGGAATGAAGAGCCCAGTTCTTACATAACCACCAGCTTCCAAAACGCATCATTGTAAATTAAATTGTATATCAAAGATTTGTGGCTCTTTGCATTAATATTGACATGCCAGTCAGATGTGATTTCCACAGTGGATCTTAATGCAGATTTGATTGTTTCATTAGAAGCTCTTCTGGAAAATGTTTTCCGAGGTTCCTCTCACCCACTATTTGTGATGCATCAGTCGTTCATTAGAGTAAAGTGAGTTTTTCAATCGATTATGTCAAAGACATTGACTCTGGATCTCAAGTTTAACCATTTTTTTTTACAACAGAGCTGACTTATTGGATACCATATTAAAAGCTGATGGTGCATGCAAACAAGGCAACGTATCTATGACGGGCATCACAAATGAGTGTAATGAGAGGACTGGCTATCATTTATCCACAGTTTTACTGATTACTGATAGCCGTGAACCACCTAGAAGACTTCTGATCACTAAATATGCAATAAAAATCTTTTAACGTGCAATGTGTTCTGTAGTTTAATGATAAACTGGCTGTTAAAATGAGTTGGGAATTGGTTTCATGTAAATGGTCTTTATGTTGTCTGATTTGCTTTGCAATAGTCTTGGATTACAGACAGCGTTTCGTTGGATTATTTGAAGAGCTGAGATTTTACATAACCAAGAGCTTCCAGAACGACTGCTCAATTTGAGTATGTGCATGCACATCAAAGATTTTTATTAATATTGACACGCCAGTCAGATGTGATTTTCACAGCAGAAATCTTGTGATTGTTTCATGACGAACATATTTGTCAGCACCAGTCGCTCATCTACTATAAAGTGGGCTTTTAGCTTTATAAACCTCATCATTATGTCGAATACATTTACTCTGACTCCCAATTTTTACTACAGACCCGATCTCTTGACTCTCATATTAACGGTCAGGGCGAGAGTTCAGATTAGATGAACTTTAGTCACAGGTTATTTAAATGCAAATTGAGCCCCTTGCTGTCATATAGTCACAGCACTTCTAGAATTGCAGGATATTACAGAATCCTCTCAGACAGTTTTATCATAGAGTTTCTATAGGTTTTGCAGCACGTCAATGTATTTCTGAAGCAGCTACACAATACCTATACTAGTATTTTTCCGTTAAATGACTGTGATTCATTGCTGAAATACTATAAATGTGAAAAGAACAAGTTTATTGTGCAGATGATTGATTTATTGTGTTATAAAACAGTGGTTTCACATAAGATGAGATGATTTTGAGTTAGATTTGGTGAGTCAGTGAACTGGTGAGATTTTCTGTAACTGTGTTCATTTTACCGTTGAGAAATGGAGATGGATAAATTTCTGGATGAGCGGACACCCTTTCGAGGGGGCGACTAGGTCGACAGGAGTGGTAGAGTTTGCCTTTTCATTATGTGGGTGCGAGCGAGAGCCTGGGTTGTAAAAGCTGATGATATATTGATATGAAATAGTTGCACAGAGCAAATCGATGGATGCTTTTCTGAAATAATGTCGCTATGTATTCCATATAGAGGAGCCAGGTTGGAGATTACATTTCAGTGAAGGGTTGACAATATTGTGAGCTGTATTGTAGGTCAGCAGCATTGTAATTCAGCCTGGACCTCTGCATAATGTTTATTGCAGGACGTTAGTGTAGATCTTTATCTTGTACTATTGAGGGTGTAAATAATCTGTGTTAATAGTATTATCCAGCTAATCCTCTTTAACTGCAGTAGGGTTAAGGAGCAGCGCTGGCTCTTGACCAGCAAACCGGAGATTTTTAAGTAAATATGATTGAGTCATTTGCACTTTAAAAATGTCCACTTTCTTTTTCAACATCAAATCTTAGCCCACCTGTCGTTTGACCATGAGGATCTTCTTTTTACTTAAAGCAATAGTTCACCCAAAAATTAAAATTCTGTCATTAATTACTCACTCTCATGTCGTTCCAAACCCGTAAGACCTTCGTTCATCTTCGGAACACATAATAAGGTATTTTTGAAGAGATCCGAGAGCTTTCTGACCCTGCATAGACAGCATTGCAACTACCACGTTCAAGACCCAGAAACGTTGTAAGGACATTGTTAAAATAGTCTTTGTGACATCGTTGTGGCACTCTCGTGAACGCGCTGACATGGAAGAGAAGAATTGTTGAATAAAGTCGTTATTTTAGTTTTAGGCTATTTTACCGATGCCCTTGCTGTGTTTCTGGGCCTGGGAACATTTCAGTTCTGTTGCTGTCTATGCAGGGTCAGAAAGCTCTCAGATTTCATCAAAAATATCTTAATTTGTGTTCCGAAGATGAACAAAGGTCTTGGGGTTTGAAAAAAGATAAAGTTGAATAACTAATGACTGAATTTTCATTTTTGGGTGAACTATCACCAAGAGCTTGTAACACTTCAAAGAGAAAGGAAAAATTTAAATCGTATTAAATGCTAATGCTATTAAATGCCTTTAAAATGCTAGTTAATATTATCACATTGGAGTAAAACCTGATGACTTTGTTCACAGTCACACAGGGTATAACTACCCCCAAAAAACTGGATCATATTTCTACTTTTTTGGGATTTTCCCCCCACCCTACACTTGTGGTGTTCCCGGTCAAAAATGACTGGCCTACAAAAAATTGGTTATAAATTTTAGGAGTGCTCCGATTGATCGGCTACCGATCATTATTGATCGATTGATCGGCGGTCTCTAAAAGGCCGATCTCAAAAAAACGATCTCAAGCTTATTACGCTGCCGTGAGAGGTTTGGCACGACATGCAGCGGCACCATCTCAGTCTCTGTCCGGCGTGGGTGAAATAATTATAATGCTGAAGGTGAGGTACTCACCTTCATATTTCTTCATTAAATAACTTACAAAGTAATTTGAAAACCTTGTGTGAGACATAATTTCACAAGCAGCGTGAGTGAATCACCGCTCGCGCTCTCTCTTTCTCTCTCAAAATACGCAAATGGCTTCAAATCACCACACATCGCGTCTGTCTATAAGCGAGCTGCACGCTGCACAGTTGAGAGGAATTGTCACTTGCACAATCGAGGCAGTGTCACAACGTCACTAAAGTTTATACAAGTAAAGTAAAGTTTTTGCATTACTTTTTAATTCTTGCCAGTGTTTAACCATTCAGCGCTCGCGCGCTCTCCTGGAGACCGTGCGCTCATGCACACT